GCTCCGGCATTTCCTTTGCTTTTATTATGACATATATATATATATATACGTTTCAGTTTCTATAGTTCATTTTCTTTCAGTTCTAACTATTTTTGACCGTAATATTTGTTACATGTATATAGTATATTAATGTGTATGTATGTGTTCTGTATATAAGTGCGCGAACGCACATAGGTGTACATAAATATGTACAGATGTGTGTATAGTATTATTTTTTCCACTAGCTTGAATTCATATCTGTGTGTACTGTATGTGTATGTGCATGCTCTCTTTATTATTGTTTATACAAATTTTAACTGCATTTTTATAGATATGCGTGCATAATGTATTTATGTATTAATATCTGCTTGTATAAATTGGTAATATATACTATTGAGTTAATGCAAAGGACATATTTCTTTGTAACACAGATAACACTAAGAATTGCAACTGCATTTCTGTTTCAGTTCAATGTAATACAGTACAAAGTTCGAGATCCGGACTCGTCGGGACTTCGGCGATTCCGGATTTGGAATTTTTCCGGATATTAGATCATCATTTTAAATCTGGTAAGATGGCATGCAGAAATTATACAATAAAAATATGAAATCGTAATTTATGAAATAAAGAACAATTATGATCTAAAGGGTATCAAAATTTACAAAAAAAAAAAAAAAAAAAGCTTAATATTATTTGTTACTTTAGTAAACATTTCTTCAATGTAAGTTTTTAAGTGCTTCGTTTTTGTTGCTAATACTTCTCTTTAATTCTATAAACAGACATAATTTCTTGTTGTTAAAAGTTCCACTGTTCAAGTCAAATTTTTGGTCGAATACCGACTAACTTGACTGGGAATTTTTTCGTTTCAGTAACCTATTGTCACTTTTTCACTATCGGTAGCGGTATTTCTGGTTTAGAACATAAACAGATTTCGCCCCTTTAATTGATGATGATGGGGGCAGTGTCATCGCAATGAAAACTTATATCATCCTATTTATACCGCTTTTCACATTTCTTTACAAAATCCATTAACTGAAAATTTCACTAGTTTGCGATACCGAAAACCTTAAATTCGCGGCATCACTTATCGTCCGCAACGGCTGGCTGCCATGGTGTTTTCGTGGTGTCCCATGTGTAAGTGTATACGAGCCAGTTTCCTTAAAAAGTCACCACGAAGGCATCCTCCCTTAAGGCAGATAGCCCCGAGTGCTTGGTAATTAAATAAACCAACCAACATTTCATCGTCCTCACATGAAATATGGTAGTGACCATAAATTATGCCAAGCATTTTTAACGTATTGGAGGACATCTTTCCACGATCTTGCGATGCCCTAAAGCAGATATTATGCTAAAGTATTTCAAAAATCTTGAATATCTTGCCATTGTTCAAGAAATTTAACATGGTTAAAATGTACTTTTTATTTGATTTCAGCGCGCGCACTATTTCGAATTCATAGGCTGAATGAGGACGTACAATTGGAGAGAAGAATAATACGGATAATTATCTTTACTAAAACATAGGTGATTATGAGCCGAACATGTCTACAATCAGACTGTTTTGGGTCATCATACAATTGCCGTCCTGGGTATTAAGAGGATTTCAAACCAAACAATTAACGCTTTGTCATCGATGCTCTTTTATTTGCCGATTATACCGGGGAAACCGTTACTCTTAAAACTCGATTCAGCATGTTTTCCGATGCGAAAAGTTTGCATTATAAAAAATCCTCATCTAATTTGCGCAGGTGCTTCCAAAATTTGTCTTCCCAAATTGCAGTCCGGTTGCCAAATATTCTGCCGCGCTCTGGGGTAAAAAAAATATCAGTTTTCTAATAAAATAGACTAAATGTAATCGTGGCTATGAGTCTTAAACAAATCTATTTAGAATGAAAGAAATTTTATTGATTCCCTCGTCACAATTCTAGAGCATTTAAAAAATCATATCATCGCCGAAGCGAAACGTTAACTAAAGGTTTACTACCTTTATTTATTTATATATATAAAAATATTGAATCACTGCTGAGTTATTACGAAGCTGTCATGATGATAAACATCAGGACTTTTAAGAGATAGATAACCATCGGTACAGGTCAGTTCGACGCGAACGTTTCGACGCCAACGTTTCGACGCCAGGTCGACGCCAGTTCGAACCGCGTTTTGAGTGGGTCGTTCGACGCCATACTTTTTTTCCTTTGTTGACGCCATACTTGTATTTTTATTTATTTTTAGAAAAGTTTGCATCCATCAAATAAATTTGTCCATCATCATTGGTGTTTCCACACCCCACATATGGGAATTTATAGATGTGTCAGGGTGTTCAAAAAATCATTGATCAATGTTATGAACAATTGCACGTGGAGATGACCGCCAAGCGGCTAGGTATCTGCGAGCTGATATGAGAATTAAAGATAGTTGAAGATTTGCAAATAGAGAAATAATGGAATACCTGAAAAGTGGGCATACTTTGCAATGGAAATAAATAACAGTTCTGTGATGTATTTATTATCTCTTATTTAATTTATTTGTCTGCAATATATATAACTACTTGATAACCATATGTTTTTACCATTGTATTTGCCTTTTGATGCATGTCCCTCAATCCAGGGCCGCGACTTGGCGAGGGGGTTCTCACTAATCGGGACACAAACAAAAATCTAGACACTTTCCATATACACACATATATTTAAAATGCTGCAAACTCGCTAATAATAAATAAAAATCAGTCATGTTCTATTCAAACATTGATATTAGACGATTTTAAGCTATTACTTTAAAAAACAGTTCATTACTTATATTTATTCTAAAAAATAAAAATACGAAAAAAAATGGCGCATGTCCTGGTCGAAACGTCGGCGTCGAACGTTGCGTCGCGTTGCGTCGAGCATCGCGTCGAAAGACCTGCTTCGAACCCAGTGGCGGGGCCGCGTCACCGACATGTCGGAAAAGAGTAGGGACGAATGGTTACTTTACCTGAACCTATGGCGTTGTATGCCTACTCTTAGTTATTAAAGTAATACGAGTATAGTGATGGCTTATGAGCCACGTTTTTTCAATAGGATTTAATTATCTCATTCTTTTAGCATTTCGCCTTTCGCGCCAATTTTTTCAAAAAAACATTTATTTTTAAACGTAAAAAACTCTAAACACAAAATTAGAACTTAATTTGCATACAAATATGTAAATTAAATAAGACTGCTAGTTCTTATGCTTGAAATAAATAAGGAAAGTTTAACCGATCTGATAATTCTAATTTTTTTATTTAATACCTTTTAGCGTGATTTCAAACTGTAATAACATATAAACAATCATTGTTTGATTAATCATCATTCGCTTATTACTAAAAGAATATTATTTAGTAATTATAATCGGAGTATAAATTCCTAGTATAATAAAGGGAAAAAAAAGATAAAAAAAATCTAGAAGCACTCATTTTATTTACGCCCAAAGGAACCATTTTAACGTTTTTCTGTTTACCTTATTTACGAATATCATGTTCTTTCGCCCGTAAACCACATACATTTGAAAAACACATATCTTAGATTTCCGCACTGGGATAAATGTTATTGTACAGTATAGCTGAACCATTGAGTTTGTTAATGAAAATTCGTAAGCTTACAAAAATGATTAAAACAATTCAAATTCGGCCATCCAGATGCGATTTGGGTGGAGATTACTTATTCCAATTGATAGCTCTAGATACTGTCGTTTTGTCACAGTGCGCGAAACTACTTATTCATGCAGATCTTCAATTTATTTCTTTTAAAATAAACAGGGCGATAATTTGGTAACAACAATTCAAGGAGACACGGACATTATAGTAAACAGAGCAAAATGCGCTTCAAACAACAACCTTTCTAGCTACGCTCCTTTGGGCTATAATTAAATTAACGTAATAAAAAAAATCTTATACGAACTAAAAATAAATTTAAAAAAATAATCACTATAAATAAAGCAAATTAATTATTGGTTAAATACATTTTAATAATAGAATAAAGATTTTTTAAGGAGTCAAAAGTAATTTGTAAAAAACGCTGATTTTGTTGTTGATTCTGAATCAGAGCAAAGTGTTATCATATGTGTTTGAATCTAATTGAATACAATTCCTTATGAAATGTGCTATAATCTCATCTATAACTTAAAAAAGCAGCACTTTAAAATTTAAACAAATTCAAAATTCGTTTTAATTTGTATTTTTATTATTTACCAAAAAGAATAAAATTGCCAGAAAATTGTTGTGGAAATTTCTATTAGTTCAGATTAAATATTATTTCAAAAAGTAGTTACAATTTCCTACGCATAGAAAAAGATAAAAAAATCCACCGAAGCATGCAATAGATTTATAATTTTGGAACGTTAATTTTTATAAATATGCGAATTTTAAAAATCATCTCAATTCAAAAATAAAAATTGTAAAATTTGATTTGTAAAATGAGGCGCTACAACCACTTTTTTTACATATACACGCTGCAATAGGCATCATTTCCTCCTCGAATGTACCTACTCCTCCGATGTTATCAAGGTGACGCTGGGAACGCCTCAGACGAGGGAGAAAACCTATTTGGGTTAGTCTATTTCTTATAATGTCCATGATAAACATGTGGTGATGAAAGCAAAATATAATAAATAATGACTCGCCAGGTCGTTGTCAGGGATATAAAACAGGTGAATGTTTCGGTTTGAGATGTATGGCCAAGCAGACACTCAGCTACGGAGCAAATTATTAATCTCACAAATTTATGCTTACATGATTTGGTTTTCCCATAACGAGGTCTTTTATTTAGTGCTTAAGTTAAAGTGACCACACGTCCCGATTGCATATTTCATAAGTGCACATCTGTGTAGCCACCGAAGGAGTGGCTTCTAGAATGGACCAATGGGCATCCAATGATATTCCTGTCCTGTCACGTGACCTTTCGTCTGCCTTTAAGATTTAAGCAAAATGATTGAAAATATATTGTCACGCAATTTCTGTACAAAATAATTAAATCATCATCTATTTCTTCTGAAAATTTTCATAAGCAATTGTGAAAATTCCACTACCTGGTTGAAAGAATTTGAAATAAATACAAACACATGTTGGACACTGCGCAAAAATATCCATGTGAAATTTACTTAATAATGGTAAATAGATAAGAATAAATATGTTGAAAAGTCTGAGCCCAAATTTATCTTACGTAAATATGCATTTGAAAAAACATTTACACCAATTACATCGTAGCAGAAATCGTACTTTTTTTCTACTTATTCTTATTATTATATTATTTTTCTCAGTACTTTTAATTAATATAGTAATAGTACTTCTTATTTATTCATATTATTTTATATTGATTATTCATTGTAATTAAACGTATTGAATAAATTAATATTTCGTGTGAATAAGATAAGTCATTTGTTTGTTGGTATTGTGTAGAACATTCATTTATAGTGAGCATTAGTAATGTGAAATTTAACACACTAAATGCATACGAATGCAAATTAATAAAGTTCACTTTGAATAAAATTATGCACTGGCTATTATCTTTTTCATATGGACAGCAATAAGATTATGTGAAAGACAAAGGAAAAAATGTGCGAAAGAAAAAGGAGTTATAATTTTTTTAACTGAGTCGTATAGTTAAATCCTTATTATATACTTTAAATATTTTTTTTTACATTGATTCATTGATTTTATGTAGAATTAGAAATTTAAAACAAAACGAGTTGTGCACTGTCATGTGTTCTCTAAAATTCTACGTATGCATGCTATCCAAATACAAAAGCAACATTAACGAAACGAATTTAGCGGAATTTGTTATTGCAGTTTAGGCATTATTATTAAGCAAAAACGAATTTTCAGCTTCAAAGTTTGTTTTGTACTCTACGTTTAAGTTTAAAGCTGCTTAGTTTTGTTTGAAGTTTAAAGTTGTTTATTAAAATTTGGCTTATTTTTAAAATGTAATCCTACTTTTTGGGCTTCTAAATATGTTTATTCTTATTTTTTAGCTTCTTTCAATATTCCATTAAACCTGTAATAATAGGTGAAGCAGCTTTTTCAGGAATTTGAAGCATGACTGGAAATACTCAAATTCCTGAACACTTGAAAATAAAATAGACGGCATTTAAAAAGCTTAACCAATGTTTAGATTTTGATTTTGCTCTGATAAATGAAAATTACTTAAAATAATGAAATTTAAGATCATGTGCAGTATGTTTAAAGATGAAAACGCGAGACATACTGAGACTGCCTAATGCAAGAGAATTAGCTAATTAATAAAGAAAGGTTTTTCTTTTTCATGTTCAGTTGCTGGACCTTGAATTCAGCCGATGTCCAGTTCCGATACTTTTGAATGAAATCACTGTAATGTTGTTAGAGTGCTCTAGAGTTTCAAATAAGGAAAACTCCGTTGCACACTTGTGAATTCACGAATTTTCCTTGAATGCAGAGAAATTTCCTTCTAATTTCAGCTTTCTTAAAATTTTACTAACTATACTTAACACTAGTTTTAAGAATTATTTGAATTGATTTTTCTCTGTTTAGCTTTTGATACTGAAAATAAACATGTAGATACATTTTTATCATGTGCAAATACTAGCAGTATTCGGATCATGATAAATGAAATGATAAATGATAATGAAATCATGATAAATGATAAATGAACCGATATTTGATTAATATAATTTATTTATTTATTGTACTTAAGAATGTATTATAGTACAACACGCATCAATGAACCAAAATTGAATTATGACCCTAGGATATACACGATTTACAAACCATACCTAAAAAAAAAAATTCTAATTCTATTCTATAATCGCCTTTTATGGGGTTTATATCTATCAAACCTGTGCAACTATGTTTAGATACTTATCGTCCGATAAATGTAAATATTATCACACAGAATTAGAAATTATTTTTAATTCCTGGAAACTTACAGTTGAGAAAGCAAATCCCTAAGTCATATATAATTTAAATTTTACATTAATAAATTTATTTCATATTATACAGTTATATTCAATACAGCAGAGATGTTAAATAATAAAAATTGTTTCTACTTATTTATTAATTAATCCTTAAGTTGCAAAAGAAATGTCTTAAAGTTATTATGACATGATTTTAACAAAATTAAGCAAACATTATTCTGAAGCAAACAAATTTATAGTGGTTTGGTGTCCTTTTAGTCAGTGGATTTTTAGCCATGAGAGAAAACCGAGAAAATAGTGGACCCATATATGTTATATTTATATATTATTTATTATATTTATATATCGTTTTACTGGTATTCATAATTAAAAGCTTAATTTTTGCTTAATTAGGAAACTAGTACAGGGCATTAAAAATCACTCTGCTCATAAACTTTTGCTTTCTTCTAAATTTCTGCATATTTTAAACTGTTTAAGAGATGTGAAAAACTGAACTTCAGTACATTAAGAACTATGTCAATAAACATAAACTGAAGTCGACAAAACTTAAACTCCAAATTGCCGAGATATACTTTTGCTATTCATAGTGAGAAGATATATGCATCTTTATATGCATGTTATACGTTCTCATTATTAAATTATGCAAAAAATCAGCCTCGGACAATTTCTTTTCCGATAAATTAAAAATCTGCTTAGGACATATTTATGTTAAATATATTAGTTTAAATGTCATTGAAACAAAGCTTAAATTGCCGGTACTTCTTAGTTTCTGAGATATATTCTAATCCTAGTCGGAGCGCGCCGGAGTTCTAAATAAGAAGGCTCCAGCACTCCTTTTATGACACTGAACAATTATTTCATTAAAATTTGATCTCGAAAATCTTATTTTTAGCAATAAAATTATATTAAAAATCGCTTATTAAATTTTGATTTACCTCTTTACATTTTATTTAATTTTAATTATATTAAATGAGTTTAATCTTTATTATTCTAATAAATAATTAATTAATTAAACAATAATTATAAATTAAATAATAATTAATTAATATTAAATAATATCAACTAAATAAGTATTAATTAATTTGATACTCATTAGCTATATACATTTTTAATTATTAATGATTTTAATGGTCATTTTATTTATTTGTTTAACTCAAGTTCCTTTTTCCTGACGGTCTTCCATAAGGCTCCGGCACTTCTACTTTTAGAAATTAAGCCCTGATAATAGAGATGGTTCAAAACAAATAATGCAAAAAACAGAACTAACCAAATGCAGCCTTTATTTGTTGCTTAATGCCCTCCGTTATGAAATCCTGTACAATGAAGATTTAACCCATTAGCGCCCAGTGTCCTCATTTGAGGACGCTGTAAAAAATTGTTATTCCCTGCATTAAAATAAAAAAATTTTTTATATGTACATTTGGTCGATATATGACATCACCATACAATGGAGATGTGCAATTATTTTGGAAACTAAGTAAAATTGGCGCGGGAAGATAAAGTATAATTTACCCGTTTTTTGGTAATCGCGTTGTTTATTTTATGTTCCAGTGTATGGAACTGAATTTATGAGGTAAATTCTTTCAATTTGTTATAAATATAATCTAGATAGCCCATATTGTGTCATTAGCATGTTTGTTAATATTTATTGTTGTAAATATATCCGTAATAAACAGGAAAACATATCCGTCCTCGTTTGAGGACACTGGGCGTTTGGGTATAGTTTTTATGCAGTATTCAGATTTATTTTTTAAGTGTTTGTTACTTTTGTTGCAGAAAAACTATAAATAAATCTTGAAAAATGAGTAGAAATAAAATATTTAAAAGCTTAGAAGAGGCGACTGCTTATCTTTTTTTCTGAAGAAATAGAAGCAGATATTATATCGATGCCTCCGGATGTGGATGAGCTAACAGATGAAGAGCAATTCGATGATGATAATTTGGGTACTCCAGTTGTATCAAATGTTGCAGGTACATTAGAAATTACAATACCAGATGATAATGATAACCCTATTATTTCGGATAAGAAAAAGGAAAACAATTCCCGTAAACGTAAAAGAGAGTCAATTGTATGGACGAATGAAAGCCCGGCTTACACATTTGGGAATTTGGAAAATTTGTCCAAGAGAAATTCTGATATATTGACAGCGCAAACTAATAATATGAGTCCAGTTGAGATGTTTGAAGAATTTTTTTACTGAAAGTGTTTATGATTGATCGTAGAGGAAACTAATCGATATGCTCACGAAATGAAATAAATTGAATATATGTGACTAAAGATGAAATAAAACATTTATAGGATTTCTGATACTTTCGGGCTATCATACTTACCAGTGAACGGGACTACTGGGCAGAAGCAGATGATTTAGGAGTAACAATAGTGAAGAATGCTATGACTAGAAATTTCTACTTAGAGCTCAAAAGATTATTGCATTCCAAGATAATAAATTACATCAATATAACAAGAATGATAAATCGTTTAAAATAGTCCCTTGTTAGAAATGCTTTCCAAGAATTTTCAAAAATGGGGCATTTCCATGAAAATTTCTGTTGATGAAATGATCGTCCGGTATTATGGTCATCATACACTGAAACAGTTTTATAAAATCTAAACCTATTAGATTTGGGTATAAACTCTGGGCTCTGTGTGGCAACGATGGATACTGTTATAACTTTGCACTGTATTGTGGAAAGGAAACAAATACTTCCGAATCTGACAAACTGCCTTTAGGTACAAAAGTGGTGCTAAATCTACTATCTATTGTAGAAGATCCGAAGAGCCATCGTGTTTATTTTGATAATTTTTTTACCAGTCATGCGTTACTAAAAAAACTGAAAGAACTGAAGTATGAACTGAAGTCATGAAAATGAGTAAGAAAGAGAGAGGGTTTTACGATAGTAAATTTGACACAACAAATGAAATTCTTGTTGTCAAATGGAAAGACAATAAGTGTGTTTCATTGGCCACTAATTTTGACACAATAATGCCGCTATCTTCAGTACAAAGATGGAGTGTAGAGA